GAAGTGCTTCCTATGAACTCATAATTTGGATACTGTTTTGCAAATTGAGGCAAAACTGACGGGTCATCGGAAGCCACATAAACCAATCTCTGAGACACTTGTCGTGTGAGCTCTAGTTTATCGAAATAGTCTTTCACTGAAACCATATAATCAGAAATAGGATAATATAGTGCCTCACGATAACTGACTTTATCAGTCCGTCGCACATGAATGCCTACAATAGGGTGTCTGTAATTAATTTGTTTCTTAAACCTCTTGATATAATTTTGAAGTCTTGGTTGTGGTCTCATTATATATCCCGTGAACTGCGAGTGAAACCATGAGTTAGGACTGTCCACAAGAGACATCAAATCTCTACCAAATTGTTTCGGCAATTGATTCATAAGTTTTCTATCGGTGACAGTATTGGGTCCTCTTTGAACATTTCGCACATATTTTGGTAAATCTTTATAATCACATGAAGTACTCAACGGAATAAAGATATCATTCCAGTGCTCACTCCCTTTGAAATATTTAGACCACTCGGGGATCAAAATAACTGTTTGATTGCTATAATAGGCAGACAATAGACACCATAAGACCTCATGAATTCCGGACGCAAATCCGGCTCCAATTTTAAGATTACAAATGAGTTTTGAAATTTTGTTGCAAAAACTTTTGAGTGGATTCTGTAATTTATCCACTTTTGAGTATATTTGTTGCGATATGTGTTTCAGTCTTTCATTATTATAGTCAGTTAATCCCTATAATTGAAGATCTCTTGAGCTGTTGTGAGGGCTCGTCGTAAATGTTTCACAGACTCTAAAGTAACTAAAATTAAAAAATAATATAAATCAATATATTTCAGTAAATGGGAACATCTAATAAATAAATACAAATAAAAGTCAAATATCTATGCAGTATATGAATTAAATTGCAAATCATACTCACCATTTGTTATTTGTTTATTGCCATCACAGTTCACATAATAGCTTTTAATATTTTTAATAAAATTTGACCGTAATTTCAATATTTCCATGTCCTTAAGCCTATAATTTTGTGATTTAATTTGATTATCAAATCTATGAATCGCCAGATATACGAGCAATGGAAATGTGACACAAAAATATATCCACAGAAATGACTGAATCTTGTGCTCGTAATTCATAGTTTTAAATCAATCGCTAAAATCACAAAATACTTAATCATATTATTATGTTATATAATGATTAAACTGGTTATCTTAAATAATTAACTATATATTTAAGTACGTGATTTTGAATGAGCAAGTTTTTGGCTACTAATACAGTTGAGATTCATATTTTTAAACAAAAGTACTGGTACTGTACTATATGTGACTATTCCTGAGTTTAATTGACAATTTTAAGCCCAAAACTTTTTATTCAAAATAAAACACTTACCTTTATTTGAATGACAATCAATACATTTGAATACTCCTAATTGATATTCTCACCGGTAATTATGATATTGCTGATACACATGGTTATAATGTTAAAAAGTTTTACTAAAATTTGAAAAGCTGCTTTGGCAACCATAAAAATTTTATGTCATGTAGTGTATCAGATTTTTTGATATAACTGTTGAACACTGTGAAACTATATAAAAATGAATAAAATTTATAAATTGCTGTTAGTTTACAATATATTTAATCTATTAGTTTGTAAATGTCAAATGCATAGCCACTTAGAATATATTAATATAAGTTGTAATTGGGTTGTTGAGTTAGAAATAGATTCAAATCACATTATAATTATAATATTGTTATTGCAAACATTTAATAATAAATAATGAATATTAGTAAGTTAGTACTGTATAACATAATGGTACACAAGGAAGTAATTTATAGTGTTGATGTAGTTATTTATTTACCTGCTTCATTTTAGTGTCAGATATATTTTGTTTTTAATGATCAATAAATGCAATTACTATAAAACAAGACATTCAGATACATATTAATAAATATTCATTTAAAATTAAGTTAATTTTCTTGTTTGACAGTAAAAATCAATACCATTAATATAATTAATAGTAAATTAATAGTAAAATTAATCTCTCCGTTGAGTATCTTATATAAAATATGTATTAAATCTAAACTAACTCAATATCATCGAAAACTTTATAAACAGGGTATAATTTGTAAAACTTTTGTGTCGATGAATTGGAGGCATAGAAATAGGAGTCCCAACCCCTGCCGTTAATTGATTGATCAAACCATTCAGACCACCCTGGACGGTTCTCATTGAGTCTCTCATGCAAGTGATCACCAATTCTTAGGTCCCACTCATCACTAGTTTTTGACCGATGGTTGTAAACAGCAGTCCGGATGGGAGTCAATGCGAAGTCATAATGAAAGGGCACGTCTAGGGATCGGTATTGCAATGAGGCGTCCAATTGCTTGTATCGCATTAATTCATAGGAAAGTCGGCATATCTTTGGGAATATTAATAAGAATTCTTTCGTAAAGTTCTTATAATTAATAACAAACTTACGGCTGAACTGAAGGTACAAACAATATAATCGGTTTCCGATAACAGGAATATATCCGCGAGTACTCCCCAAAGGGATTCATTTGAATATCTCGTGGTTTGACTGAATGCTGTCTTCGAGATGGAAGTGCTTCCTATGAACTCATAGTTTGGATACTGTTTTGCAAATTGAGGCAAAACTGACGGGTCATCGGAAGCCACATAAACCAATCTCTTAGATACTTGTCGTGTGAGCTCTAGTTTATCGAAATAGTCTTTCACTGAAACCATATAATCACAAATAGGATAATACAGGGCCTCACGATCACTGACTTTATCAGTCCGTCGCACTTGAATGCCTACAATAGGGTGTCTGTAATTAATTTGTTTCTTAAATTTATTAAGAAATCTCTGAAGTCTTGGTTGTGGTCTCATTATATATCCCGTGAACTGCGAGTGAAACCATGAGTTAGGACTGTCCACCAGAGACATCAAATCAGCGCCAAATTCTTTAGGCAATTGATTCATAAGTTTTCTATCGGTGACAGTATTGGGTCGTTCAGGAGCTTTGAGCTGATCTTTAGGTAAGTCTTTATAATCACATGAAGTNATTCATAAGTTTTCTATCGGTGACAGTATTGGGTCGTTCAGGAGCTTTGAGCTGATCTTTAGGTAAGTCTTTATAATCACATGAAGTACTCAACGGAATGAAAATATCATTCCAATGCTCCCCATCAGTGAAATATAGTGACCACTCGGGAATCAATATAACTGTTTGGTTGCTATAATAAGCTGACAATAGACACCACAAGATCTCATGTATTCCCGATGCAAAACCGGCGTCGATATTGAGAATACAAACAGATTTGGAAACTTGATTGCACTGATCTTTAGGTGGATTCTGAAGTTTTTCTAGTTTTGTGTATATTTGATGTGATATT